GGCTACTGGGAAGCTGCCAGGGAAGAGGGTAGGAGGGTCAGGGGGAATCCAAGCCCCCCCAAAGCTCCCCCAGGGGTTGAGGGTCCCAGAGGGGTGGGCTCGGCTCCTTACCCATCACTGTCCTCTCGGGCGCTGTGTCCTCCTCCACCTCTTCCTCCTCCCCATCAAAGTATTCCTCGTCTTCCTCTGCTGCAAACAAGCCACCAAATGTCACCAGGAGCCACCAGGAGATGTGATGGGTGTCACTGGGTTGGTGGGAGCTGGTAAAGGGGTGTCAGGGGGTCGGGGGCTGAATTACCGGGGTCGAAGTCCAAGGCACGGACGGCATCAGTGAGGTGGTCCAGGCTCACGGAGAAGGCATCCATGCTCTCATATCCCTGCTGAATCTTCTCCAGACGACCACCCTTGGAGGCCTCCACGATCCTGGGCAGGGAAAGCATGGATATGTGTGTCCCTGTCCCCTCGCCAAGCTGGAGGACCATGGGACGCCAGGGTGGGGGGTCGGGGCAACCCCCCACTTGCAAAGCCCCGTGGCCAAATCCTGCCCGTCTGTGGGGCTGGGATCACTGGATTTTCCCCAGTTTGAGCACTTACGTTTTGATGAGCTGCTTCGCATTCTGTGTGGAGAGAGGCGGAGAAGGAGAAGGAGAAGAAGGAGAAGGAGAAGAAGGAGAAGGAGAAGGAGGTGAGTGAAGCCACAAGAGAGCCACCAGGATGTCCTCTACAGTAGGACCCCATGTGGGCACCAGCAGGGAGGGAAAAATTTGGGGGTCTCACCATGAGGAAGGCAGCCCCCCCGGTCTCCTCCGCTGCCTGGATGGCCGTTTCCACCAGCCGGCTTGACTTCTCCAGCTGCTCCTTGTACTGGCAGATGAGGCTCTGGATGAAGGCTGTCTTTTCTCCCTGCTCCTGGGAGATGCGCTGCAGCAGCTCCGACTTCTTCTCCTCCAGCAGCGCTGCCAAGGCGTCGAAGCGAGCGCACAGCTCCCGCTTGGCCGCCTCACTGTTCTCCTGTGGGGACAGGGGGACAAAAGGATGCCACCTGTGTGTCCCTTCAGCACCAGCAGCACCCACAGGGCTTCCCTGCTCTGTGGGCTCCAGCTCCCTCCCGGCCATCCCCGGCTGATGTTTCATCCCCGGGTGTTTGGGGGGGTTCTTTTTCCCCTCCTCCCTCACCTCGGTGCTCTGGCACGAGTCCTCCAGCTGGGAGATGATGGTCTGGATCCGGTCATTCCCTGCCACCAGCATGGAGATGCAGTTGTTCAGCTCAGTCTGGGGAGGGACAGACACAAACAGCTTTAACTCCTCCGGGGTTGAGGACTTCCCCCATCCCGACACGGGGACGGGCTGGGCATTGCTTGTCCCCAGCTCTGCTCCCCCACATCCCCCACAAGCCACAGCTGCTCTAAATATAGTCTGTCTCCTGGGCGAAGTCACCCGGGGGGCTATTAATACCCTGTGAGCCAATCCCAGTGTTATTTGTGACTGTCCTAGCTCAGCACATCGCCCCAGGACCAGCCGTGTCACCCGCAGCCCCCCCTCGTGTCCCCCCCCTCGTCACCTTCTGGCCCTGGAAGACGGTTTGCAGAGGGGCAACCTCGCAGTCCTTGTGGGCACCGAAGACTTTGCACATGGAGCAGGTGGGGACCTCGCAGGTGACGCAGTAGATGTTGATCCTCTCGTCCTCGTGCTCCTTGCACATGGGGTGCTCCCCCTTTTTCAGTGGCCTGCTGGAGAGAGCGGCACAGCCACGGTGACATCCCTGTCAGGGTGATGTGACCCCGTGGGGGTGATGTCCCCCACTGCAGGGGCATCCCTGCCACGATGATGTCCCACTGCAGTGACACCCCGCGGGTGCTGCGCGGCCACCCCAAAATCAAGTCCCCTGGGAAAAGGCCAGATCCTGCCATAATCCCACACTCACTTCCTTTAGGAGCCACCAGACTCTGTGCCTCTGTAAGCCCCAAGCCCAGTAAGTCCCATTTCAAAGCCCTGTGTCCCTGGGCATGGCAGTGGTTGGCACTGGGGGCGGGGGGGGCTCCGGGCTGCGCTCCAGGGACGCTGCACAGGGACCTAAATTTAGCCCAGTGCTGCCCGGATTTATTGTCACCCATCGCGTGACCGGAGTGGGGGCTCCCAGAAACCCCTGGGAGGTCCCAGACAGGGGCTGCAGCCAAATCATCCCATCTACAGCTAGGAGGGACATGGGGACAAGCCAACCCTCTGAAGCAAAGACAGGGCTGGGCCCCCCGAGCCCCCCCAGCGTCTGCTGACACCTGCCACGTGCCATCGTCCCCGTCCCCATGGCTCTCACACAATATTTACAGCAGTTCAGGGAATTTGGCCAGTGCCACTGCTCTGCCTCGAGAACCTGTGACCCCCCTGTCCCCCCTCTAGCTTCATGTTTGCCCCTCCAAACTGTCCTTCTTCCTCTTATCAGCTTCAGTGCCTGCTGTCATGAGCAGAGCCTGGATTTGTCCCCCACACCTCTTATCTCACAGCCAACACTCCAACAAGAGCATTTCGGAGGTAAACAGGACCTGATCTACTGTCACCACCCCCCCCCAGGGACCCACCACCCCCCTGAGCTGCCCAGAGACACAAACTGCTCTGGACAGGGGAGAGAATTGGATTGGGGGAGAAAGATTCAGGTCAGGAGAGGAAGTTTTAAGTCAGGAGAAGAAGTTTTGAGACAGGAGGAAGATTTTGGTCAAGCGGGGAAGATTTGGGTCAGAAGAGGATCTGAATCAGGGACCACTGAGCCAGCAGAAAACCTCCCAATTTCTCAGTCTCCCATGGTCTCAGGGATGGTGCTGGGGCAAGAGAGGGGGGCATCCCTGCATCCCCACATCCCCATATCCCCGTGTCCCAGTCAGCCACGTCCACCTGTGCCTACCTGGAGCACTCCTGCTTGTAGATGTCAATGATGTTCTCCACCAGCAGGTTCCTCTGCAGCCCATAGACCCCGTGACGGTCCAGCAGCACCTCGTGGCGGCACGACGGGCACCGGAACCGGCCCCCCGAAATCAGACTGCCCCGG